TGCCCGTGATTTCCCTCGACGCAATAGATGATAAAGTTCGAGCAGCGTGGCGACGCGATTGCAGCCTCCAGCTGCCGCACCTTGTACCGCGCAGTGATGTCCGAGGCGTACCCCGCGAAGTTGTCGTTCGTCAGAGCCCCGGGGATTCTGTGGTTGTTCTTCCAAGCCCTGGCCGACCACCAGCAAGTCGCGCGCGTGCGAACCTGGCAAGTGGCGCGGAACACATGCGGCGCGTGTTTGCGCTTCGGCCACAACGCCGCGTCTTCAGGGCAGAACGCTATGCGCGTGGCACCTTCCTCGTGCTGCAATTGAACTATCCGTTGCCATCCGTGCTTGTCCGCGCGACATGGCTCGCAATCTGGGTTAGATTTACTCCGTTGCCAGGGCGGCATTGCGCATGCCGTTGCCCGGACGTGGCCGCCCCGAAATTGTGGTCAAGCGCGTCAGGAATTTTTCTGTGCATCCACCAGAGGCCTTTCTCTGCGGCCATCGTGCAAATGTCTGTGCGTGTTTCCAAGGACCCCCACCTCTCGCCTGTGCCCGCGTCCCGGCAATCGTGCGCGCACTCCCAGTTCCGCTCGCGCGTGCGTATCTGGGCGCAGCAGGGGCGCATGTAGCTCTTGATGTTGTCGCTGTGCGTTGCCTCGGGCATCTTCGTCGGCTGGCGTCGGTCGCTGCATGCCCCAATTCAAGGCAGGACTCCCTTGCTCGCACTGTTGAATCGCAGCGACGTAGTGCGCCGCGGCTTCCAAATCGCTGTCAATGATGGCCCGCCACTCGGACCCTCTCTTCTTCGCAAAGGACATCAGTGAGCGACCTGGACTCAATGATCTCCTGGGCGCCCGCGCGGGGCGGCCCAGCGGCGGACGAGCTTCACGCGGCCATGCGCTGTCTCGGGATCGACTTGTCTTTGATGGCGTCGTGCGCCGCAGACTCCAAAGAGCGTGGGCCCGCGTGCAAATGCGAGCGAACTTCTTGAAGGGAATGCGTCCAGCGTGCGTCATCATTGCTCTTTCGCCGCGGAGGCTACGACCATGCTCTCGCGAATGTTCCCCGAACCATGTAAAAGCGGCCTCAGGGGGCAATCTCCGCCGAACAAATGAGATTCATTCGAGCTGGCTTCGGCGGAACTTTGATGGTGTTGGGTGGGCTAGGATGGCCCGAAGATGGCAGGAAGAGTCCCGCGGCGGCTCCTGAGAGGCCAGAAGGGGGCCCCCGAGAGGCCTGCAAGGGGCCCCGGGGGGATATGCCATGAGGCGCCGGGAATGGCGCGAGAGGCCCCCGCGAGATTTTCTCATCGTTCTCGTCGTCCTGCTCCTTCTTCTTTTCCGCCTTTCCCCCCATCTCCTCCCCCTTCCCCCTCCTCGCCCGCGTGCCCCGCTGGCCAGCGGCCGTCCTTGTCCAGGCCGTCGCTGTTAATTCGGCCCCTCCGCTTTGGCCCCTCGTTCAGCGCCCGCGGCGGCAGCGGTTTGGACCTCGCTCCAATTCCTCCCTTGAGCAGCCCGCGACCTGGGCGCCGCAGACAAGGCGGCGCGTGCGGTCGCCCTGGCAGGTCTGCGTCAGGGCGCGGTCGCAGTGCGCGTCCTTGACTTCCCCGCGCGCTGAGCAGAACGCCTCCTCGTCCATCAGCTGGGCCCGCAGCCGTCGCTGATCCCGATCCGCGCCAGGCTGTGCGAGACCGCTGTGCCGAGGGCTGCTCGGGGCGGCGCCTGGAGGTGCGCGCTGGCGCCAGGCGCGGCCGCTCGGGCGAGGTGGGCGCGCGTCGCGGGCGAGGGGCGGTTCCAAAGGGCTGCGCGCGCAGCGTCGTCGACCTTGTCTTTAAGGATCTTCTGGTCGGAGTGCGTCTCGCGGTCGGAGCGAATTAGCTGTTCTTGGCGCTCGAGGGAAGGTAGGCCGCCGGCGAGTGCTACTCGGCGGCCAGCGCGACTGGAGAAGACGGAGGGGGTCCCGTCTGGCCGGCCGCGTCGCCAGCGTCGGCCGGGGCCCAGGGGGGCCGCGGCGGCAACCGCGCGCGCGGCTGGCCAGCGCCGGGGGCGCACTTCCTGGTGGCGGGGTCTCTTGCTGGTCCAGGAACGCCAGCGGCGCGGGTGCCAGTCAGGTGGTGGCGACCTGCCGCGTGATCGTTCAAGGTGGCCTTCATGCTTTCCAGGCTGGACCCCCCCGTCGACGCGGCAGGTGCTTCTGCCGCCTCTCCTTCTCCTGCCCCTCCTCCTCCTCCTCTCCTTCTCCTCCTCCTCCTGCTCCCCCTCCTGCCTCTGCTGGTCGTGAGTGCTGGCGTCCGCTCGAGCAGCTGCCTCCAGCGCTGCTCGCCGGCGGCGCGCGGCCAGCGGCATGCTTGCGTCTTGGTCCATGTCGCTCCTGTCGTCGATGCGCATCCCGTAGAGGCGGTCGTGGCAGTGGGCATCGTTGCCAGGTTGACCCCCCTCGGTGCGGTCTCGCCCGAGCACGCGGCCTGGCGAGGCATGGGCTCCGATCCCCACGGGCGCGTTCCTGGCCGCCGCCTCGGCATCCATCCGCGCGGGCCCCTCGCTCGATGAACTATCGCGTCCGGCGGCGGGGCCAGCTGCTGAGGTCGCCGGGGCAAGCTGTCGCGATCCAGCCGAGTCGCGGAACTATTGGAGGTGCACCCCTGTTGACCTCCCAGCTGCACGCGCTGCGCACGCCCGCGCTCGCTGGGCCTCCGGGCAGGCAGGGTCGGCGATGGTCCTGGCGATCAAGGCGCGTGACACCCCGAGGCGAACGGCGCGTCCGAGTGCGTGGCCGGGCGGCGGCCGATCGCCGGCGCCAGCGTGGAGAACTCGCAGATTGGCCAGCCGACATGGAGCTTGGCCACCAGGCCCCATGAGCACAAGGCAGCAGCGCAACGCTTGCGAGGGCCGCTCGTGATCGCTGCCCCGAGGCAGAGCGCATCCGAGGGAGTGGGGGTCGCGCGTGCTGCGAGGGGCGCCGCTGGCGCCCGTCTGGGGCCGATATAGGTGGGGCCGACGAGGGTGTGTAAGGCTTGCGTGGGCACCGTGCTGCAAAAGCCATGGGAAGCCTCATGCCAAAACGGACGCCGGGGACGGCGTCAGCCTGCAGAGCAACTAGCGCACCATCTGGAGGCCAGGGTCTACGAAGACTGGTGCTCGAGGTGCCCGCGTGCAGACGCCGGGGGGTCTGATGTGAAGAAACAATCGTCGGTCGGGCACCCGGGGAATTGTCGGGCGAGCCCCGCCGGTGGCGGAGGAAAAGAGCTCTGCCGCGAAGGTCCGCGGCGGCGTCGGAGCCGAGGATGGCGCCTGGGCAGTCGTCGCAATGGCCGCCAGCCGGCCCTGTCTCCTGCTCGTGCCAGTAGTGGCTGTCTGAGTCGTGCTGGCTAGTGACGTAGAGCTCGTCGCACTGCTCGGGCCAGTCGTGGACCTCGGAGTCGTAGTGCTGGAAACCATGCTGCGGCCCAGCATCGGGCTGTTGGTCTCTTTCGGGCTGCTCAGTCACGTGGTGCTCGTCGCACGGTCCTTCGCGCTGCTTGTGCCTGTACTTGATGTCGATGTCTTACTGCTTGTCTCAGTGCCATTGCTCAGCGTCGGGCTGCTGGTTTCCGTCGTGCTGGTCCGTGGCGTGGTGCCTGGCGCGCTGCTCGTGTCAGTAGTGGATGCTGACATCGTGATGCTGGACTCCGTGCTGCTGCTCCGCGTCGTGCTGGTCAGCGACGTGGTGCTCGTCGCGCTGCTCGTGCCAGTCGTGGATGTCGGAGTCGTGCGTATGGTCTCCGAGCTGCTGCTCAGCGTCTGGCTTCTGGCCCCCGTCGTGCCGGTCAGTGGCGTGGAGCTCGCCGCGTGGATCGTCGCACTGCTCGGGCCAGTCATGGACGTCGGAGTCCTGCCGCTGGTCTCCGTGCTGCTGCTCAGCGTCAGGCGGCTGGTATCACTCGTGCTGATCCGTGACGTGGTGCTCGTCGCACTGCTCACTGCGCTGCTGGTGCAAGCAGTGGATGTCAAGAGTCGTGCTGCTTCTCTCCATGCTGCTGCTCAGCATCGTACTGCTGGTCTCCGTGGTGCTGGTCAGTGACGTGCTCGTCACACTGCTCGCCGATCTGCTCGAGCCAGTGGTAGATGCCCGAGCTGGTCTCCGAGCTGCTGCTCAGCGTCGTGCTCCTCGTCTCCGTCGTGCTGGCGAACGAAGTTGTGCTCGTCGCACGGCTCGCCCGGACTGCTCGTGCCTGTAGTGGCTGTCGAAATCTTGCTAGTGGTCTCCGTGCTGCTGCTCAACATCTGGCTGCAGCTCACCGTTGTGCTGGTGGGAAGGAGGAGGGAGGAGAAGGAGGAGGAGGAGGATGAAGAGGAAGAAGAAGAGGAATATGAGGAGGAGGAGGAGGAGGCGGACGAGGAAGAGGAGGAGGAGGGGGAAGAGGAGGAGGAGGAGGATGAGGAGGAGGGGGAGGGGAGGAGGAGGAGGAGGAGGAGGAGGAGGAGGAGGAGGAGGAGGAGGAGGAGGAGGGGGAGGAGGAGGAGGAGGAGGAGGGAGGAGGAGGAGGAGGAGGAGGAGGATGAGGATGAGGAGGAGAGGAGGAGGAGGAGGAGGAGGAGGAGGAGGAGGAGGAGGAGGAGGAGGAGGAGGAGGAGGAGGAGAGGAGGAGGAGGAGGAGGGGAGGAGAGGAGGAGGAGAGGAGGAGGAGGAGGAGAGGAGGAGGAGGAGGAGGAGGAGGAGGAGGAGGGGGAGGAGGAGGAGGAGGATGAGGATGAGGATGAGGAGGAGGAGGAGGGAGGAGGAGGGGGAGGAGGAGGAGGAGGGAGGGAGGAGGAGGAGGAGGAGGACCTCCTGTTCCTCCCCGTTTAGGCCCAACCCGCCCGCCCCTCCCTACATCCCCCCATACCGTTTTCGGGTCACCCGACACCTGGAGTCCGAAATCCACGGGGGCCCACTGCGGCCCCCCCCCATTCAACTAATCAGGGTGTTCATACCGTTGAAGAAGTAGTAGAAGAGGTAGCCCCAGTAGATGTACCAGGCGCTGCCGTTCAGGATCAGCCGCCTGTAAGAAGGGGGGGAGACGAAGGGTCGGAAGGCCCCCGCACCCCCTCCCCGGATTTTCAAAGCCAACACACCACGGCCCCCCGGCACCCGACGTCCGGGGGAAGCCCCAAACGCGGCAGGAGACCCGGAGCGCCGCTCCAGGCCCCTCCGACGCGGGGAAAGATATTCATATTTGCGGTATTCACGACTGCATATGGTTGGGTCTTTCGCCAAGCTATTTTGGCGGGGGTGGCGAGGGCCCGGGCCGCCTTGAAATTCAACCGCCAACGCCTCGACCCGGGGACTTGCACAAGCGCGACCACCAGTACAATCACCAGCGATGACGATGATGATGATGATGATGATGATGATGATGATGATGATGATGATGATGATGATGATGATGATGATGATGATGATGATAATGAAGATGATGATGATGATGATGATGAAACTGATGATGCTGATGTTGACGATGCTGCCGATGACGATGATGATGACGATGGTGATGATGATGCTGACAACGATGATGGTGGTGGTGGTGACGATGATGATGACGATGATGGTGAAAATGGTGACGACGATAATGATGGTGATGATGATGACGACGTCGATGATGATGATGATGGTGGTGAGAAGGGGAGAAGGGGGAGGGAGCGGGAGAGGGAGAGAGAGGGGGGAGAGGGAGGGAGAAGGCAAGGAGGGAGGGGCGGCAGCAGAGGCAGAAACGAGAGCAGAAGAAACGCGGCAGGCAGGAGCAGCACGAGGCTTACTTCGAATGCAAAAGCACGTTGAATTACGCGTTGTGCCGGGTGTCTCGTTCTCTTGCTCCATATAATTAGGTGTCTCGAAATTCGAGACGCAAGATTATGCCGACGAGCTTGTTTCCTTTCTCCGCCCCTGGCCCCCGGAACTGCAGAGAAACTTCACCCTGCGAGCTGCCAGGCGGGCTTCGTTAGGTGGCCTTCTCTGCTGGTCTCTCCTCCCCGTCCTCCTCTTCGCCCTTCTGCTCCTCCCCCTATCCTCCTCCCTCCCCGACCTATTCTAAGAAAATTTAGAAGAGGTCGGACCCATAAGTGGGGGCGCACACAATCGACGAAGGAAGAAACAGAAACGAGAGGCGTTCAGATTGCGAGAGGGAAGGCGGACGCCGTTGCAGCAGCGCTGACCTGAGGCGCTGCGCGCAACGATTGTTACCTAACAACGAAGACTGATAGGCTTCTAGTAGGGTCAAAAGAGAGCATCATGACGCCCCAGGGGGGTCTGGGCGCGATCCGGGTGAGGATGCCGGGGATTTTTCCCAACCATCCTGTGGTGTTGGGTCCTTGTTTTGAAGAGACGGTGGCCCGCGTCTCCTCTCCTCTCCTCCTCCTCCCCCTCCTTCCTCCTCCCTCCTCCCACCATCATCATCGTCATCATCATCGTCGTCATCACCCATTTCGGCACACCCCTCACACGTTTCGTGGCCCCATAGGGAGCTCCGCTGAAGGTCCCAGTGGGTGTGCCCGCATGCGTCCCGCACACCCATTTCGGCACACCCCTCACACGTTTCGTGGCCCCATCAGGAGCTCCGCCGAAGGTCCCAGTGGGTGTGCCCGCATGCGTCCCGCACACACATTTCAGCACACCCCTCACACGTTTCGTGGCCCCATAAGGGGGCTCCGCCGAAGGCCCCAGTGGGTGTGCCCGCATGCGTCCCGCACACCCATTTCGGCACACCCCTCACACGTTTCGTGGCCCCATAGGGAGCTCCGCCGAAGGTCCCAGTGGGTGTGCCCGCATGCGTCCCGCACACCCATTTCGGCACACCCCTCACACGTTTCGTGGCCCCATAGGGAGCTCCACCGAAGGTCCCAGTGGGTGTGCCCGCATGCGTCCCGCACACCCATTTCGGCACACCCCTCACACGTTTCGTGGCCCCACAGGGAGCTCCACCGAAGGCCCCAGTGCTGCCGTCCGCATGCGTCCCGCACACCCATTTCGGCACACCCCTCACACGTTTCGTGGCCCCATAGGGAGCTCCACCGAAGGTCCCAGTGGGTGTGCCCGCATGCGTCCCGCACACCCATTTCGGCACACCCTTCACACGTTTCGTGGCCCCATAGGGAGCTCCACCGAAGGTCCCAGTGGGTGTGCCCGCATGCGTCCCGCACACCCATTGCACACCCTTCACACGTTTCGTGGCCCCATAGGGAGCTCCACCGAAGGTCCCAGTGGGTGTGCACCATGCGTCCCCCGCACACCCATTACGGCACACCTCTCACACGTTTCGTGGCCCCGTAGGGAGCTCCACCTAAGGTCCCAGTGGGTGTGCCCGCATGCGTCCCGCCCACCCATTTCGGCACACCCTTCGCACGTTTCGTGGCCCCATAGGGAGCTCCGCCGAAGGTCCCAGTGGGTGTGCCCGCATGCGTCCCGCACACCCATTTCGGCACACACTTCACACGCTTCGTGGCCCCATGGGGAGCTCCACCGAAGGTCCCAGTGGGTGTGCCCGCATGCGTCCCGCACACCCATTTCGGCACACCCCTCACACGTTCCGTGGCCCCATAGGGAGCTCCATCGAAGGTCCCAGTGGGTGTGCCCGCATGCGTCCCGCACGCCCAATTCGGCACACACTTCACACGCTTCGTGGCCCCATAGGGAGCTCCACCTAAGGTCCCAGTGGGTGTGCCCGCATGCGTCCCGCACACCCATTTCGGCACACCCCTCACACGTTTCGTGGCCCCATAAGGAGCTCCACCAAAGGTCCCAGTGGGTGTGCCCGCATGCGTCCCGCACACACATTTCGGCACACCCTTCACACGCTTCGTGGCCCCATGGGGAGCTCCACCGAAGGTCCCAGTGGGTGTGCCCGCATGCGTCTCGCACACCCATTTCGGCCCACCCCTCACACGCTTCGTGGCCTCACAAAAGCTCCGACGAGGGTCCCAGTGGCACAGTCCGCCTTCGTCCCCGCCACTCATTTCGGCCCACCCCTCTCACGTTTCGTGGCCCGCTAAGGGGCTCCGCCGAAGGTCCCGGTGGCACAGTCCGCATGCGTCCCCGCCGCTGATTTCGGCCCACCCCTCACACGTTTCGTGGCCCATAAGGGGCTCCGCCGGAGGTCCCAGTGGCACAGTCCGCATGCGTCCCCGCCGTTCATTTTGGCACACCCTTCTCACGTTTCGTGGCCCCGCAGGAGCTCCGCCGACGGTCCCAGTGGCACAGTCCGCATGCGTCCCCGCCATTCATTTCGGCACACCCCTCACACGTTTCGGGGCCCATAGGAGCTCCGACGAGGGTCCCAGTGGCACAGTCCGCATGCGTCCCCGCCATTAATTTCGGCACACCCTTCACGCGCTTCGTGGCCCCATAGGAGCTCCGCCGAAGGTCCCAGTGGCACGGTCCGCATGCGCCCCCGCCATTCATGTCGGCGCACCCCTCTCACGTTTCGTGGCCCCATAAAGAATTCCACCGAAGGTCCCCGTGGCGCAGTCCGCATGCGCCCCCGCCATTCATGTCGGCCCACCCCTCGCACGTTTCGTGGCCCCATAGGAGCTCCGCCGAAAGTCCCCGTGGCACAGTCCGCACGCGTCCCCGCCATTCATTTCGGCACACCCCTCACACGTTTCGTGGCCCCATAGGAGCTCCGCCGAAGGTCTCAGTGGCACAGTCGGCATGCGTCCCCGCCAGTCACGCCGGCACACCCCTCACACGTTTCGTGGCCCCATAGGGAACTCCACCGAAGGTCCCCGTGGCGCAGTCCGCATGCGTCTCCCTCACCCAGTACAACGTTTTGTGGCCCCATATGGAGCCCCACCGAAGGTCCCAGCCAGCCAGCTAGCTCTCTTGCTCTGCGCAGCGGACGACCCGCGCGCGTCGCTGGGACCCGTCCAGGGCGACCAGCGCGCGTGGCGGGGACTCCGTGCTGCGTTCTGCCCAGCGCCTCGCTCGCCTGTCGTCGCTCTGCCCAGCGGCAAGAGCCTTGCCCGCTATGCTATCAGCCAGCCAGCTAGCTCCCCTTGCTCCGCGCAGCGGACGACCCGCGCGCGTCGCTGAGACCCCTCCGGGGCGACCTGCGCGCGTGGCGGGGACTCCGCGCTGCGCTGCGCCCGCAGCCTTGGACTTTTGAGTGCGCGGGCAAAGAGGGAGTAAATGAAGGGGAGGAAGCGGGCGCGATCCTCGCGGGGGGGGGCGCCGACATTGGCGTCGCCGCGCGCGGGCGATGCCGTCGGGGAGTCCAGGGGAAGCTCCTTGCGGCGGCCACACCCAGCGTCACGAGTACTCAGAGGCAGTCATTCTCAAACTATCGACATTCATATAGAATTGCACCATGCTTTGTCATACTCGCATTCATGCACGTAGACTCGCTCGCACGCAGATTCATTCACAGTCAGACGCACTCGCGCTCAGACTCACTCGCGCTCAGTCTCCCCACGTACTCAGATCAAACGTTTCCGTTCGCGTTGTGTACCACGCAACCGATTTCGGCACACCCCTAGCATGGTTCGTTGCCTCATAAGGATCGCCACCGAAAAAATGAATCACTATTGCGGTATTCTCACCTGCATATGGTTGGGTCCCTCGCCAAGCTAATTTTCCAGCCAACAGTAACGCACTTCGTGATCTTCGAGTTCCCAGAACTCCATTCCTGGGCATGATTTTGAATGCCCGGAGCCAACTGTAGGCCACTTCGTGTTCTTCGAGTTCCCAGAACTCCATTCCTGGGCATGGATTTTAATGCCCGGAGCCAGCTGTAGGCAACTTCGTGGTCTTCGAGTTCCCAGAACTCCGTTCCTGGGTATGATTTTGAATGCCCGGAGCCAACTGTAGGCCACTTCGTGTTCTTCGAGTTCCCAAAACTCCATTCCCGGGCCACATTTTGAATGCTGAGGCAGGCTGAGGCTGAGGCCGAGGCTGAGGCCGAGGCTGAAGGCAGACTGAGGCTGAGGCTGAAGCAGGCTGAGGCTGAGGCTTGAGGCAGAGGCTGAGGCAGAGGCAGAGGCTGAGGCTGATGCAGGCTGAGGCTGAGGCAGG